CACAAGCAATATCATTGATATCGAGAAGAATGAATTGCAAGAAAATGAATTACTGTTTGAGACAAACACTACAAACATGTACGCCGTCGACAATTATCTCAGAGATATCAAGTTTAATTATGCATCCATATGTTCAGCTTTTCAATAATATTTATTCATGTTTTTTTCTTTTTTTTGTTGGAATTACAATATTACTCATAACAATTGAAATGTTGCTCTAACCGACCTATCATACACCAAGTTGAGATATAGTTTTCATTGTTTAATTATGAGGCGTTAGTATGCGTTAACTCTATATTACTGTCTTCATGGGATCTAGAGAGTGCTGATATGTAGTTTCAAATGTTTTTCAAACAACTATTTGTTTCTGACTCTTTTCGGGTAGGATAAGCTTCATGATCTTCGATCAACTACCTATTCCGAATGTTTGAGCTGCAACATCTTTATTATACATAGTATCCAAAGTGTAATTTCTTTAAAATAATTAATTTTTTTTTCGAATAACAAAAGATCCGTTCCATCTGAATACTGTATTCTTCTACTCCTGGTAATAGACCTTCTTCACCTACTGCTCGTGTCCATTACATGTTACCTTGAAAGAACCTTTTTCTCACATTAATGTTTTCTTTTAGTATTTACGAGTTTGATCCTAATCCGTACGGTCGCGTTATTCGCTACTCCTGTTTCGAATCTACACTAGTCCCTAAGATATCTATTGTAATGACTTTTTTTCTGGGACTTGCGTTTCAGCCTTATTTCTTTTTCTATTCAAAGAGTAAGTATTCTTTTCATCTCATTCATTATTATTTTTTTTCATTTTCATAGAAGAATTTATCGATATCTTTCAAACATCAGCGAAAAACAAAGTTTTCAGTGGTTATGATCAATCTACGGATTGCTTGAAAGACGCCAACTCGGTAATATCCCCCCCTATAAGGCATTGTACAAACCTACATTTGCAAAGATTCAAAAAGTAAAAACCTTCTTGTGTTTGAATTGTGGAACATTCAATAATATCATTTTTACTGCAGTGTTTTTCAGTTAATTGGTTGTTTCTCCAAAATAATTTGTATCGTTGAGTCAGAGAGATTAAACGTTGTTCAATTCTGTGAATAGCTCCCATTTTCGACCTGATGCACGAAAACAGGTAGAAAACCCTAAACCCTACATAATCTTCTTTTCTTCTTTTTTAATTTCTGCCTTCTATCATACTTATTTTGAAACACAGGATTTCCTCATTATTTATTGTAAAACAAACAAAAAAAATACAAAGATTACACAGAGAATTATGTAACATATTACAAGAGTGCAAAGATACATAGATTTATACAACAGCAACAATGCACTCTCTGCAGGTCTGAGAAACTACGATACGATTCCACTCAACTCCAGTCTCACTTTTGCAATGCAGTCGTTATTAGAGCACCTAATATGCCTTTCATATCTTGGTATCGATTTCTCTCAAGAAATCGTTAATCACGAGCACATTAGGTGCCTCAAACGTTAAGATGAGAAAAAAAGATTCATTAGAGCATAGTTGGATAAGAATACATACATATAAAACTCTAGATATAAGATATACAAAAGAAAGGAGGAAACAGCTTAACTGTTACATCACATAAAATAAAAAACTCAGAAACGGTTACAAAGCATTAAACAAGGAGAATCTACAGTGGCTGCATATGTGCACAAACTGAGATCAGCCAGTTTAAGTGCGTAGGGGACGCCTCACAACACACAAGAAAACGCTCATCAATTGAATAAACAGTTGACAAGCACTCCAATGCCTTACTCTCGCAAGGCATTGGTTGTTAGGACATCGATTTCTCGCAAGAAATCGCTTATCAAGGAGTGTAGGGCACAGCAAGTGCCTCAGAACACACTAAGAAACGCTTTTCAAAGAATTAACATTTGACAAGCACTCCAATGCCTTACTTTCGCTAGGCATTGGTCATCAGAGCTTCTAATGTGCCTCACAACACACAAGAAGGAGCTTATCAACTGACTAAACAGATACAAGCACTTTAATGTCTTACTCTCGCAAGGCATTGGTCATTAAGGCACCTAATATTACCATTACATTAGGTGCCTCACAACACACAGGAAAAAGCTTAACGACTGAATGAACAGTCGTCTAGCACTCAATGCCTTATTTTTGCAAGGCATTGGTCATTTGGGCCCCTACTGTGCCCTTCACACCTTGACATCGATTTCTCGCAAGAAATCGCTTATCAAGGTATGAAGGGCACATTAGGTGCCTCTTAACACACAAGAAAAAGCTTATTAACTGAATGAACTGTTGACAAGCACTCCAATGCCTTACTCTCGCAAGGCATTGGTCATCAGAGCCTCTAATGTGCTCTTCATACCTTGACATCGATTTCTCGCAAGAAATCGCTTATCAAGGTATGAAGGGCACATTAGGTGCCTCTTAACACACAAGAAAAAGCTTATCAACTGAATGAACAGTTGACAAGCACTCCAATGCCCTACTCTCGCAAGATATTTGTTATACATTTGACATGTATAATAAATTCACAAGCCTTTTGATTTTACCCTAGATCTTTAATAAAAAATCTCACTCAAAGGATCGGTTGATAAAAATTGTAAAGCCCGTCAGTTGCCCCAGATTGAAGCAAAAAGAGGAGAGGATTTTGAGCAGATACTTATAGAAATCGCAAAAGTCGTCATATGACCCGACTGAGAATATAAACAAAGAAGTCAAAGAGAAAAATGAACCGAAATGTGTTGTACTGTTCAGGGTTGTTGAAAGATAGAGGTATTTTTGAATAGTCGTTCAGAGAATAGAAAATTATAAACCGAGAAGGCAGTTCTGTGAATAGGATTGATTATAGAAAAGCGCGCAATGAGCCTTGAGCAATGGTTGCAACTCATTCCTGTCTTAAATTCAAGGCGTTTCTAAAAAAATTTTCAATTTTTTTCCAATTTGAAATAGATGAAATAACTTTTTCCTTTCTCCACCATAGCGATGTTTTTTCAGATTTTTGAAGATTATTTATGTAATTTTCTCATATTCTAATAGCGAAAAAGGTGAAAGATAGTCTTATGCACACAGTTTAATCCAAATTTTTCATCTAAATTTGTGTTTTCACTTTCACATTTATGAATAAAAAAACTTACATTTTTATGTTTTCAATTTTTTTCATTTCTCTCAAATATTTATATTGCGCGAGAACAGATTACTATAGAAATGTCAAGGTTAACCCCATGCAAGAGAATGAAAGAGAAGTGGTCAAATTCCCATTACTTGATGCTGAAACGACTAGTTTATATGAAATATGCCGAAAGAAATTCTTACTCGAGCTAGTACTGTTTCAAACATAATTGTTCTTATTTGTCTAACATGTTATCGACTCTGAAATAATTTTGAGAATGAAATCTAACTATACACTAGGAGATCTTTGCAGTCATGAAAAGAAAACACAAAACAAAAAAACGAGAGCAAAAAAAATTACAAATTATCAGAGATCAGTGTTGTGATTCGTTATAGATTGATAGAGAAGAGACGATATAACACGCCAAAAACTCTTGATACTTTTAAAAGTCAGATTGACATTCTGATCTGAGGAAATGAAAATAAAAGTCACCAGATAGTAAAGGGCGACAACGCGGGAACTTTTCCAGAGAAGATTACAGCTGAGATAATGAAATCATGAATTTTTTGAAAATCATACGTTACACAAGTCAAAATGCGTGAAAAGCGCTTATGAAATGGTTGCTATTGATTAAAAATTGTCGTTCTTGATTCCTAGGCGACGCGCATGAAAGCTCCGCCCTTTTAACCATGTGCAAAACGGCTACTTCACATATATCACGCACCGTAAAGCGTGTACAAAAAAAACCATGACATTTAAATTAAATATAAAGGGTATCAATAAATCTGTCAAGTTGCAAAAACTTCAGCTTTAGTTCTGCTGGAGTTTCAACTACCGCTGGGCCAGATATGAGTAGTCATTTACTCAATTGTCGAAACTTAATACAAAATAAAGATGATCCTATATAACGAAGAAAGCGTATATCGTTTTTGATAGGAACTTTGATATATGCTACATGTTCAACGTTGGTCATATCACTAATATCAGATTCATTCAAAAACTCTTATGAGCATTACTACCCCGCGGGATTGATGTAGTCTGGGCATAACAAAAGCTTTCATTCAATAAGCTGGAAATCGAAGAACACGAAAGAAAGCTATGCGATATCTTTCTCGAACTAACTATTTCATTGGCTTCATTTTATATATATATATTTCATCAATTTTCTCATTAAAGACTTTTTGCTCAAACTTTTTAAATTTCTCATTGAGACTCAGACAAAACATTTCAATTCATACAGAAGTCACAAAAACTACTTTTTCCTGTTTTGTTATTTATTATTTATTGATTTTTGACAGCGCTTTATAAGGGGAGCTAGTTTCCGCCCTTTACTTTTTTTCAAATGTTAATGGCGTCCTCACAGTTATTATGGACAGCAGCCTACACTGCACATTGTTGTTATTATTTCACATTCTGCTTTGATTACATCGAAAGGGAACGATTCAGTTTATTTTCATGCCTTTCTCAAACTTGATGAATTTCTTTTTATTTTGTCTCGACAGTGCTCTCTTAGTACTCATTATGTCTCGCTTATCAATTCTGTCATTTTCTTATCATTCCTGTTTCTGTAGACAGAAGAGGAACGCCCTTATTGTATTGACTAACACTTTGCTTTCAGATTCTAAACATTCAAGATTCCTCCGCCAACAATATGGTCAGTTTATTTGAGAATTGTATATTCGAAAAAGATATATTTATAGGCAAGTAAATGGTTACTCACGTGTCGCCCAGCCGAAGTTGAAGCTCGTACACCTTCGGATATTCAAATATCACGTAAAGTGAAACCAAGAGTGATTTCTCAGGTTTATAATATTTAGTTATTTGAAATGAATCGTTTTTTTCTTATAGTTAGCATCTGAGATTGGTATCCTTGATGATGAACTTGAAATGTACGGAAGAACTAAAGCTAAAGTTTCTCTTGACATTTTAAAGCGATTGAACACTTCCGACGGAAAGTACATTGTTGTGGCAGGTAGAAAACCGGTGTTTCCAAAGATAGCATCTCTTTAGGTATCACTCCGACACCATTGGGAGAAGGCAAGTCAACAACTACTATTGGTCTTACTCAAGCTCTTGGTACTCATTTGAAAAAAAATGTTTTTGCTTGCGTGCGTCAACCATCGCAAGGGCCTACTTTCGGGATAAAAGGTGGTGCAGCAGGAGGAGGATATGCTCAAGTAATTATTTCGTTGATTAAAGGAAACTAAAAAATTCAAGGTTATTCCTATGGAAGATTTCAATCTTCATTTGACTGGTGACATACATGCTATCACTGCCGCAAACAATCTCTTGGCTGCCGCAATTGATGCAAGAATTTTCCACGAGAGAACACAAACCGATGACGCCATGTTCAACCGTTTATGCCCTCTCGATAAAGAAGGTAAAACTCATCATGAATATAAGAGTTATATCCTGATGTAGGTAAAAGAAAAATGACACCAACACAAATTCGTCGTCTTCGTCGTGTGGGAATTGATGATATCACCGATGGTAATATGCTAACAGCTGAACAAAAAAATAAATGGCTCCGTCTGAACATTGATCCAGACACAATTACTTGGAACAGAGTGATTGATACAAACGATAGATTCTTGAGAAGTAAGGACTTACGATATGAATGAAATTATTTTGTTTTACAGAAATCGAAATCGGTCAAGGTCCCCAAGAGAAAGGAATGACAAGAACTGCTCAGTTTGACATTACTGTGGCCAGTGAGGTATTGTTTGTCAAAATAATTAGAATTTGCTAGCTTATATGTATTTAGTTGATGGCTATACTTGCCTTGTCAACTTCTTTGGGGGATATGAGAGAAAGAATTTCAAAAATTGTTGTCGCTAATGACAAAGATGGCCATCCTGTTACTGCTGACGACATAGGAGTGACTGATGCTCTTACTGTTTGTTAAGATTGTCATGCTTGTTAGTAATAAGGCTCTGCTGCAGACTTTGATGAGAGACACCATCAGACCAAATTTGATGCAGACATTGGAAGGAACACCGGTATTTGTTCATGCTGGACCATTCGCGAACATTGCTCATGGCCAGAGCAGTATTCTTGCAGATATGGTAAACAATAATTCTCGAAAAATTTGTGAAAATTATGTTTAGCTTGCCTTGAAACTTGTTGGAAAAGAAGGATATGTTGTAACTGAGGCTGGGTTCGGTGCTGATATTGGTATGGAGAAGTTTTTCAACATTAAATGCAGGTTGTCCTGACTTTTAAATTTTCAATCAACTTTTTTTTCTTTAAAGATATGGTGGCTTCAAACCGAACGCCGTAGTACTTGTGTGTACCGTGAGGGCCTTGAAGATGCACGGAGGTGGTCCCACTGTTACTGCCGGTGCTCCCCTGAAACCTGAATACTTGAACGAAAACTTGGAGTTGGTGACAAAAGGTTGCGAGACAAATCTGGCCAAACAAGTAAAAAAAAAGAAGGTTCAACAAGTCATAGATGTTTAGATTGAAAATGGAATTGAGTTCGGCGTTCCTGTAGTTGTTTGCATCAATAGATTCGCTACAGACACTGAAAATGAGCTCCGCCTCGTCAAAGACTTGGTATTTAGAATAAAAGTCAATGTTTATCTCATTTGATTAGGCACTTGCTTTGGGAGCTTCCGCCGCCGTCGTCGCTAGCCACTGGGCTGAAGGAGGCGCTGGAGCTGTTGAACTGGCAAAAAGTGTTGTAAATGTGGTTGAAGAGAATGAAAGCTCGACTTGTGTCAAGTTCTTGTATCCACTCGAGATGCCTTTGATAGAAAAAATGCGTATTATCGCACAAAAAATTTATGGTGCTAAAGACATTGAATTGAGCGATGAAGCTAAACAAGTGAGGACATGATTCTGCGAAAACAGTAAATTGAAAATGTATTTAGCGCCTGGAAAAATTCACTAAACAAGGCTTCGGAGAACTTCCAATTTGTATGGCTAAAACTCAGTACTCACTCTCTCATGATCCAGCTTTGAAGGGAGCTCCATCAGGTATGTTGCTGATTATCGCCTCAGAGTTATAATTACATTTTCAGGGTTCTGTCTCCCAATTAAAGACATTCGTGCTTCTGTTGGCGCTGGATTCATCATACCAATGGTTGGCGAAGTGACGAGAATGCCTGGTCTTCCTACTCGTCCATGCTTTTTCGATATTGAAATCGATCCAGTCTCTTTAGAGATTGACGGTCTTTTCTAATCATTCCACCAAACACATTCCTTAGATTTCACAAAACATTGTACGAAATATGTAAAACAAATAAACAAAATGTAGAAAATGAGATCCGCTATTCATCTTCTCACAAACTATAAGTTGTTGCAGAGCAGGTTGTCTGTGAAGTAAACTTTGAATATTTGAAGGATGTCACAAATAGAAATTTTTTTTTCCATTTTTACTATCTGAACATCTTGATCGATTCTGTAAACGGAGTACGATATACTATTGATTGACAAGTTTTCGGTTTTGAAATAGTTTGACACTTGCAAACTCTTCTTTCTTTCTTTTTTTTCACAAGTTTCTAACTATATCTCATTCAGCAAAAGTCTCCACAAAACAAATGAAACAAGCTTCAGCTACAGAAGATGTATTGTTGGGTTTGTTTAGCATATGGGGTTAGTTAGTAAGGTTAACTTATAGAAACACAGATAACGTCGTTCAAGAATCAACCAGGTTATTATTTGAATTTAAAACTGATTCTAAGAGATTGCTTTTCCAATATTATTGACGACTATTGTAAAGATATTGGTGAGTTATAAAGGAACATTGAAATTTTGAATGTTTTGTTACAGCTGTTGATGCATTGAAATCAATGGCTAGAATGTTGAATGGAAGAAGTGAAACTGAGCTGACTGAGTTAGTTTAACCAACAAATGCTATTCGTATAACACATATTCATATAATATATAGAGCAGATATAGAGGAGAAAATCAGAAACCAGGCGTTCGTAAAACAAACATCTGTAGATCATATTGTGAAGTAAGCTGAAACGTTTTAAGGAAAAAATTATTTGTTTTTTTTAGAATCGATGAACCTCACAAATGGATTGTTTTCGATTCAGGAAATGGCCACAGTAATCATTGTGCCGGCTCTGTTCATTTTTATTTGAATTATATCAATGATAATGATTTGATAGAGAGCCGATCTCGACACATATCAACATTAGTTCATGAGTTATCTCACATGGTAAGAAAGGTTATGATCTATGTAATAGAATAGTTCTAGTACGGTTGTCTTCATGCATCTGAAGGAATAATGTCAGGAGACCAGTAGGCAGTTCAGTTTCAATACCATCGTTCTAGTCATTTTTTTCCAGTGGTGGTGGATCATCTGATCTCTTCTATGATGATCTGTCATTATCTGTTCTCAATCTAACACATCCATTTATATTTCCCTCGTCCATGTTAGCACAGATCAAATATAAGGTTTACTAAGGGTTCGAAGTAATCTTGATCAAAATGAAGTTATACTTATAGTGGGTATCCAATCATTTGCTTATTGTCTATTGCGAGGATGGTATCGAATGCATAGTACTTGGATCTAGGTACAGCTAACTTCTTCTAGTACCACATCTCTCCCTCATTTCAGAGGAATATACGCTGATGTCATATGCAGTGAAAAACAGTTGTTCAAGTATCAAATTGATATGAAGACGTTTGATCAGTGTATTGTATGCTATTTTGCATTCATAATTTGATTATTTTTTTTTACTTCTAGGCCATATCAGCAAAACGTTATGTTTTTCATGTACCTTTACGTGGGCAGAGCAGTGACTTCAACGATTCTTGGCTTTCATGAAAAGACATTTCACGCTCGACATCCATAATTGTTCCTAATCAAAAATTATTTTCAATTTTCGACAATGAAGTGAATTCACAAAAACAAGTTTGTATTCAAGTGCATCATGTAAGTCCATGATCATTCATACTACATTTTAATTTTGTCTTTATAGGTTCAATTTGTATATATTTAACGATCATACTCAAAGATTCGATCGTCCGTTTTTATTATTCCCATCTCTGAGCTGAGATCAAAAGAGATGAAGCCTAGAACTTGGAAGCTTAAGCTTCCATTTCATATTTTATTTGTCATATTCTAGTTTCAACGTTTAAACGGTTTGAGAGAAGCAGCGAAATTTTGAAATAAGTATAAGCTTTCAGGAAACAAAAATATTAAACATAATATGTCGTGATGAAACGAAGCAGCATCTGAAAAATAAATTAGCATTTAAAAATTGAAAAACAATATTGAATTACATGATATTTGCTGAATTATCTGAATATTCACCATATTCAAGCAACAATCATTGGTAAATGTAGACATAATGATGTCGTGTGTGGGTGAAAAACACCTTCTGTTCGAGTTTCAATGGTAATAACTGCTGATATGAATGGCTCATTTGAATACGTTCAGTTACATAACATGACATACTGCCTCAGTTTTTTATAATTTTTCTCAAATGTTGTATGTATTCTGGTGGAATATTTTGATTTGTGACACTATTGCATGACATGTCATATTTGTTTCATAAAATTTGAAATAAGATAACTATGATTTATAATTGAATACGTGATATGGAATGATGTAAATGAAATTTTCTTTTCATTCTCATGCTTCTCCCTGAAGTCTGTTACATTTCTTGTTTGCTCTCTCTCACTCTCCTCTCTTTAATTTTGATATTTAACGAAAAATTTATGATACGTACCAGGCATTTGAACAACCAATTTATTACATTTTACAATTTCCTGGAAACTTTTACTTAGCTGATTGATATTTACCAGCCGGTTTTAAACTTTGATTTTGGCACTGCTTTCCACTTCAACCTTTTTTTTATATTTTTTTTCATTCGTTTGTTTTGTTCACGACTTTTCGCTCTAGATTGTAGCTCTGCGTTACTTTCAAAGTTTAAAGGCGGGAACTATTAACGGGGAATGCTCATGAAGCATTATTTCAATTTATATTCTGTGTTCTTCCCCTCCGTTTGATAATTTCTATACAAACATACATCTTATTATTATGAAAACAAGGGTATGAAAACATAAATAATTTCAAACATGAAATACTTTTTCTTGTTCAATAGTTGATTCTTGAGCTTGACTCCGTCTTGGCACTTATTCTCTTTCACTTGTAACTCAAATGAAATATATTCGCTCTCTGTCAAAGTTGAAAATAATTCTTGTAATATTGTTTTTTGGTCCGATATCCGTATATGTTTCTTGAGCTACAAAGTCTTTGCTGCAATTTCCTTTCCCCATTAAAACTTGTCATTGGAAGTATTCATTAAGACTTATTGCCACTGTTGAGAAGTTCAATATCCATTTACTCACAATATTAACGAGCACAGAAATGAACTTTGACTTCGTTCTCCATTCTCATTACACTTAGTATTGTCCATATTTCCGATGAGATCCTTATTCATTTCATTTTCAGCAGCTCTTAGCTTCTGCTCTTCGACTTTAAGATCTTAAAAGAACGAAATGTTGTGCATGACCATATACGCTCTTCTGTTTTTGATTATCAATTTGCCCAATCTGACGGCTGCCCAGGACAGGTTGGTTCAAGAACTTACAATTATTTTTATTTTCTCATCCATATAAAAGAGAAATTGAAAAACTTTTCTTTCGCCAAACTTTCTAATAAGAAATTAGTTCCGCATAGTAATATCAACTGAGCTATATCATTTCCGCGAATGAATTATTACAACAGGCTAGAACATGAATTCTTGTTGTAGTTCATAAAATATTTTTGAAAATTAACGAACAAAATTCGAATAAAGTCATTTGATGAATGAATTACTTGAAATACATAAACCAATATTTTAAAATAGAATTATGAATGTGAATAGTATCGAATATTTATGAGATTTAATATATATTTTGCAAATTAATAGAGTATTCAGCCTGATGCAGTCAAGCGATGATCTTTTCTCCAGCCGTTCTGCACGTTCTTCCAGTTCAATAAAAATGAACAGGTCATAACAAAAAAAAAAAAAAAATTTTTATGTTTATCCAGGTATGTTCGAGAGCCCATGGATCGATCAAGTATGATTCGGTTTGGTAAACGAGCTCCAATGGATAGATCAGCAATGATAAGGTAGGAACAATAGCAAAACGTGTAGAAGGTTTTAAATATTGAAGATTTGGAAAGCGTCTTAACTTGCATAATGATTTTTCTCGATTCTTGTAAGTAAATTCGCTCACTTTATACTAAAATCTTTTTTTTTCACAGGAAAAGAGCACCTTTGGACCGTTCTAGCATGATCAGGTAACCGTTTCCACTCATTAGAGACATGTGAATTTGATTTTTTCAGATTTGGAAAGCGGAATAACGAAAACTAATCCGTTCAAGCTGAATAATCCAATCATGTTAAAATGAACAGTGTTTTCGATACGCAGCAAAATGATCTTCCCAAAAATGTTGAAACTTCTGATTTGAATGATCAATCTGGTCCATATTGTCAAGTAGCATGCATGAATAAATATTGAATATCACCATTTCTGTAAACAAATCTAGAAAAAATGGGAACGCCTACAGAGCAAGACGAGGATGAATGAGTATTTAGAAACAAATATCATTGCTCTTGTCTACAATCTCTTAGTTCAGTTTGATTTTAATGTTCATTTCCGAAAATAATGATTTTTTCTACTCATCAAACATTTTGGCTTAGGCTTAGGCTCCCCCAAAAAAAAGTAAATTATGGAAACATAACCCGAACACGTGGCTAGATGGCTAACATTGAAATAATGAAGTTACGACCACCCCTGCCTTCATGGATTAACAACGAGTAAGTATCATCGTGTATGGGTGTTTTTGTTCGTCCGATGGTTCTTAGAACCGACGGAAGACAGAAGATTTCGAAGAAAATAGATGAACGCTTCACTATGAAGTTTTTGTCTATTTTCACACATGAGATGATTCATGCATATGAGTTTTTAATGATTTATTACTTGAATGAGTCTGAAGTCTTAATACCATATGAGTGCGGTAGGATGATGGAGCATGGTGGATTCTTCCGTCATTATATGGATACTATTAACGCCTCTGTCGGTGTTGGAACAGATCAATAGTTGTTTTTTGAATTTGACCGGTTCTCCTCGGACCACACAAGTAAGATTGTTAGCTTACAAAAGAGCTCACAATTAACTAATAAATCGTAAAACGAATTGGTTGCATTATTTTCACTCTCTTCTCATTCATAATGCACTCGCATCTATATGACATATACTTATATGCTAAAAACCCAAAAATGACTAAGTCTGTGAAAAGTTTTTGGACCATAACTTCTTTCATGATTGAAGCTAGAGGCCTGGAAACATGTCCAATCGATTTGTATGGTAATTCTACATCTAGAAAACCTGTTTATAATGCCTTCTTCAGTAGCTATGTAGTGAATATATCTTGATCTTGCATAGTATGGGAAGAACACTGCAGGACCAACTTGAATCAGTTCGAGAATTCGGTAAGCGAATATTTCCCTACCATCTGGCAAGTGTCGTTTTGCAGTGTTCTGCAGACACATTGAAGGGCTGGCATTTTGATAAGTTTTCATAAATTATTTCGTCTTATCATTAATGCGAGTCACATTGACTACAACTCCGGCACGGCTACCACCTTGTTTGGGGTCGAAGTGGATTTGAGAATCCGGGAATATCGAAGAGAAAAATGCTTTAACCTGTGTAAATTCATTGAGTTAGAAAAGCTTGAAGACGTTAATGCACAAAAAAAAGTTGTAGTTGAGGCTTACTTGCTTTTCCTCATCCTTGGATTACGGGACCTGAACGAAGGAAACACCGGCCTAAACCAAGAGAAAAATATGTGCATTTTTGATTTCATGATTGCGGATATCGAAGTTTATCTGAGAAGTCAAATGCTGAATGATTACAAGAACAAGAACATCCTTCAAAATATAAGAAAAGCATCCACGATTTTAACTGGGATCGGAGCTGAAGAGAGAATGCAAATTGCCGAGGATGCTCTACCTCGTTGGGATCGAATCAATAGTATGACAAGAAATGTCATTGATTCTGAGCTGAACGAATTGCGAAAGCATGGAATTGAGCTCAAGACTACCTCAAATGATATTGACAGCTATCTTCACGATGTCAAATTGAATTATATCTCATTGTGTTCAGCTTTTCAAAAATTATGAGGTACACAAGTTTCCGCCATAGTATTTGAAAAATATACATTTATAGGCAGGTAACTGCTGACTCACGTGTCTTCCTGTCAAAATGGAAGCTCGTACACTTTCGGATATTCAATTAACACGCATGCTGAAACCAAGGGTATTTCTCAGGTACAGAATTTATAATCATTTGATCTGAATCTTTTTTTCTCATATAGTTGTCATCTGAGATTGGTATAAAACGGACGTCAGCACATATTCAGATTCAGATTTTGAGTGACATCATCAGACCTAATTTGATGCAGGTTACAGTAAATGAGTGTTAAGCACTGAGTTCATAAGATACACAACTAATTATCAAAAGAGAGACCTTACATGATATACATTGATATAATAACTATACAAGAGATCAACATAGAAGACGGGATAGTGATGTCTTCTATGGAATCTTAGATTTGGTAACTCTGGAAGTATCCGTTAAAGAATATCCTACCAGGGTTACGGTCACTAGAGAATCGACCATTGAATAGCATAAGCGCCTTTTATAGGGTTGCTCTGTATGTCTGTCTACTCTAGTAGTCTGACCTCATTACTGTCTACATGTTCTTTAACGGATACTTCCAGAGTTACCAAATCTAAGATTCCATAGAAGACATCACTATCCCGTCTTCTATGTTAATCTCTTGTACATAGTTATTATATCAATGTATATCATGTATGGTCTCCCCTTTTGATATCTAGTTATATATTTTATGAACACAGTGCTTAACACTCGCTTACTATAAATAAACCTTCTACTCTTAAAATAGTTGTTCTTCATAGAAACCATGTCTGTTTAGGCTTAATTCCGCTACATACGAAAGCCAACCAGAACGCACAGTTTTTTTTTCCTTTGTAAACTTTAGAAGCTTTGTAAAGTTTATTTATTCTGTAAAATTTACAAACTTTATTAATTTGTGAACTTTGTAAACTTTAATAAACTTTATTAATACTTAATTATGTTCATTTATGTCCTTATAAGGTTTAACCATGCTTAATTATGTCCTAATGAGGTCTAATTATGCCCTGGGGCTAATTAAGTCTGGGGCGGAGGCGGGGCTAAAAGTGACAGGTGACAGGTCAGAATGATTAATGATGATGTCGGCTTTTCTTCGAGTCAAAACGGTGTGTACACTACTGTTATCTCCAAAGCGCTCTTCTCCATTCTCCTCTTTTCTCTCTTGTGCTACAAACAGAAACAGAATCCGTCACAACGGCAACAAAGGTACGGGTACTCTCTCCTTATAATTTCCAGGCCACCACCACTGAAAAGTGAAAGAATTAAAGAATATCAATAACAGCAAAACCTACATATAGTAATTGTAGAGTAATTGTTGACCTTTCTCAATTTTTTTCTTTCCGATCAGAACGATATACTCTACTCTGTTGTAAGTTTTTTTTACACAACTGACAATTGGCATGGTTACACTTTTTTTCACAGCATGATTCACCAAATTCCCAAAAAATCTTGAAATAAAAATAAATTAATAAATAATTAACTGGTTACCTACCTGGAGCCATCTTCTTCTTCAAATAAGTGTGCGTGAAGCCATCCATTGAGGATCTCTCCTCCACTACCTATGCTGATGGAATAATCATTCATATTAATAGTGGGAACTTCAGGGCTGACATAATAGCCGGTTATTATGTCTCATTTCGCAAAAGAAGATTCCGCATACACTCCTATAATAGAATAATATATAATAAAATCATTTTTGAAAATGTTACCTCTACCAAACGTTTCGTGACTTATCACCTCAAGGTTAGGCCAATCGGCCTTCTCATAATGATTGACCCATTTATGGTCTTGATTGATCGGGAGACCTTCGAGGGCGGCTTTCATTTGTGGGATATATCGTCTTAAAGTTTTTACTACTGTTAGTAAAACTCGACTCTTAGGAAGATAACATTAGACCTTTAATTTGACTAAGCGTCATCTGAGCTTCACTTCATAAATTAACATAACTATATGCGCTTGCTTTGTTGTTATTCTTTTCTTATTCATTCTTTTGTTTTAAATTTAATTTTATTTATCTTATTTATATATATTTCTAAATATTTATGTTTCATCTTCATTTTTTAGTGATGGAGCTTTGCGATTTAGTAGCTGAAACAAATTCCATTTTCTTTCCTCATTTGCAAACAGGCGCTCCATTCAATGTAGCTGTGTCAAATTTTATAAAGAGATTGGACTCAACATTTAAGGTAAGTTATTTTTCTTGTATCGTTTTCTAACTTAACATTTGTAGCCACCCGCTACGCTCATGAACATTAATGTGTCCAATGCTCATACTTGGTTCCTGTTACAAGTTCAATACTTGTCGTGGTCTGTATCAGTCCCCAATTTTTAAATGAAACTCGTTTACAAGACTAGCTGCAAACTGTTAACATGGCGTTCTGTATAGAGGGCTACTGCTCCTTAACGTTCGCTCGTTCACAACGTCAGTCGATTAAGACCGACATTCTAGAACGATATGAGATTTCTAGTGTAGCGGTATGTAAAGCGAACGTACAGAAATGACGTCTAATTTAAAGAACACCGAGGGAACATAACACTAGTGAAAGAGAGTTTATTTAAGAGAGAGATGGAATAAGTGCATAGACTAAGAATAACATATTGAGTGCATAGAATGGTGATGGTATAATGAATGCATAAAGTGATGATAGTATAACCTTAATCTATGATATATAAATAAATGAATCTCAAGTCATAAAGAGGAGTTAAGTTAGACTTAGTTGACGGGTTGTGGACTTGAAATAGAGGTAAGGAAGTCCCAACAACCGGAGAAGAGGGTTACAGTAGTCATCGAGCAAACCGACAGAATACTCAGAGCCTAATCTGTCTGGGTACAGTGGATAGACTGGGATTCGCTTAGATAGAGCGCATTGCATGGTTCCGATGGTGTAATAAGGACACAGAAGAGCGCAACCAGTAAAATAATGTGAAGGAAATGAAACAGTTTTCTTAGTAAACATGAGATCCCTCTGACGAAGCTTATCCCAGTCAGCCTAAAGCCATCTTTAAACATCCTGAAAGTTGGTTCAAGACCAATACCACATTCATTCTGAATCCTCCTTGCTTAAACATACTCATAAATGCACCAAAATAATTAAACTAATAGAAAAAACTCTTCATCCTAATTGTCATACTACTCTTATTCTCACATCCAAAACTCCTTTACGAATGAAATGAATATGCTCTCATGAAAGCCGGTTCTGACTCTGATATCTCTTGTTACGAAACCGCTTTTGGAAATTCTAATGCTGTAAGAGTCACCTTTATCATTAACTCTTCTGACAAAATCCACGTATAGAAAAACGAAATTATCGGCCAAGCTGCTATAGTTAAACTCCCTCCTTCCTCTTTCGATGCTCCCATTAAATCTCATCCGATATGGACTTACCTAAACCTAGAATTACAAAAATCCCACTAGAAAAAAGAGAGGAAGTTGAAAAACAAGTGCAAGAACTTTTGGAACAGGATATCATCGAAGAATCCACTTCTCTCTTCAATAGTCCAGTCGTCTTAGTATGCTTGCATCTGTTGTGAATGTAATGCTTCATTTTGCTGTTGCTCGAAACACAACAGAATGGATGTTCATGATGAGGTATGTAATGTCATATATACATATAAAGAAAAACATCGTCCCATACAGAACGAGAATGACCTGATCATTGATGTGTCCCTGTTGCATGATGATGCTGACGCTAGTCTTCTTGCTACCGATGATAATGTTGTGGATGTAGCTGATGTTGTAGTTGTTGAAGATGATGGAATCCAAGCCAAGGAGGAGGATTTGCTGCAGCTCAACTATGATGTTGTCAAGTAAGCAAGTTTTCAATAATAATATTCATTAATATATAAAAAAATATTTTAGTCGTTTCATAGTTTATCCTGCTTCAACTTCTGATAACAGAGACAAGCGTTATTGCTTCATCTGTGATAAGTTAGTGAACAGAAAAATGAGAAGATGCTATTCTACTCATGTACAGAGCGGATCAATAAAAGCGTGGATATATTTTATGTGCTGGTGAGCATTTATTTATTTTTATAACTCAATCATCAGTTTTAGGTGGCGATTTCAGGAAAGAGATGGTCGTGTATCTGATTTTTTATCCGAGTATCACAATATGGATAGAACATCAGAGAATGATGATACCGTACCTAGCTCACAATACTATGACCAGTCATCAGTATTTCCTCATTTAGTTAGTAGATTCACACGTATATTATATGATAAAAACTTTTTTCAGGAAGGTGTTTCCTACCTCAAACGGCAAAACCAGTGTAGGCTCATACACCATCTAAATTTCAAGCTCAACGAACCACATCCGTTTCTGACGGATCTGGAGGAATATGATCTAACCCTGTCAAGAAGAGGAAATACCTCACAGAAGACACGAGGGTAAGAAATAATAATAAAAATATTCCACTCCCATTATTATTATTTAATTTAGCGCCGCTCTGTATCCAGCCACAAGAATTTCACATACACCAACTTTTCATGTTTCTTTACTTCACTATGCGTTTCAGGAGGACGAAAGAAATAACTTGGATACACATGCATGAGGTAATAAAGAGACAAACTCCTTTGTAACGGACTAACTCTATTTAAAGGCAGCACTTAAATTGGATGAGACCATCAACAACACCATCGATCTAAAGCTTAAAGGATCAATAGTCATTCTCTTGGCTGATTGTTGTAGAGCTATGAGGATCCTTGTAGATAAGCATTCAACCTCTCCCGGATTTGGGCCATGCATGAGAAAGTTGAAAGAATTGAAAAATAATAATGATGCGGTAGCTTAATAAAATTATCAATCATTACTCTTATCTTCTACTTCATTGCAGATCCTATCTGATGATCGTGAAACTCGAAAACTGGATTGGAACATACCAACGTTCTATTCCATATACCACAGCTTCAACACCTATGCTGAGCAGAGGATGAAAGTAATTAAGGAAGGGTTTGTACAGGATATTG